CTACTAGGGTTCCACTTCCTATATGTGGTTTTGTTTATTAGAACAAAATGTGGTTAACCATATCTCTGCCATCAACCAACTCCTGTACACAGATTCTCGGTAATACACTTGTCTTAGTCTCCTTAGTGGCCTTTAAACAGTCCCATTCAAACAGTGACTTCCAAGAGGATCTGCTTGGCAGTTCTACAGTGAAGGCAGAGGTAAGCTCAGCAGACTGTGGTGGCTCTTTGGGAGGATTTGAAAGGGGTAATCCTAATAGGTTTTCTTGAAGGGCACAGGAGGATCATGGGGACCTATTTTGAGAAAATTAAAGGTTGTATTGGTCAGCTGAAGGCCTGGAGAGTTGCCCCGAGGAGATGTGCTCATCCCAACAATGGACTGTTCATTCTTCCAGGGGAGGAAGGACTGCCCTACAAGAACTCCATTGGGAAATCTTAACCCCCGTCCACCCTGGAGCCCTGATCATGCCCCAAACCCACTGCCATTGAGTCAATTCTGACTCACAGTGACCCTATAAAGGGTTTCTGAGACTAAATGTTTATGAGATTAGACAGCCACATCTTTCTACCACAGAGAGGCTGGTGGATTTGAACTTCCGGCCTTGCAATTAGCAGTCCCAAACTCCTAACCATCAGTGCCACATCGGTGTGTTTCTTGAGAATGCTGACACTGCTGTTTGGACATGGTGCAAATCAAAGGGAAAGGGCTAGAGATGTAAATACTGCCTTCAAAAGTGTGTAGATCTAAATGAAAGATATATTGAGAAACAACCGCTTCACAATTCAATATTTTTGTTTAATATGTTTCTATGATGTTCTAGCAATAGATTTTTGTTTGTTTTTTAACCTACTATCAGGAGAGACCAGTTCTTGAAGGGCATGCTGTTTGGCAAAGCAGAGGGTCAGTAAAAACAGGAAGACCCTCCACAGGATGAACCGCCACAGCAGCTGTAACCACGAGTTCAAACGCAACAATAACTGTGCGGGTGGCCTGGGACAGGGCCGTGTTTCCTCCTGTTACACACAGGGCCACTGAGAGTCAGAGCTGAGTCTATGGCCCCTACCAATACCACCTTTAAAATCAAATTACCCACAAAGAGTCACCAAATGTACGAAAACAAACAAACAAATTCACCATTCTAACGTTGTAGTTCTTAAGATTTATTCAGGTTTAGAGTCAGGGTGAGGTTATTTAAGAGTCTTAACTAAATTAATCTCAGACCTAAAATGAAATAGCCTAATTCACAACCAACAAAACCTTTCCAGTGCAAGGATAAACAAATCCTCAGCAGTTCATCTCCAGAAGCCATGGGAAGGTTCTGTTCATTTGCTCAGCAAATATTGAGCACCTACCACTTGCCAGGCCTGTTCTAGGTGCCAAGGGCCAAGCAGGAAACAAGGTACAGAGAAAAACGCCCTGGTCTCATGATTTTACATCCTTTCAGGGTAAGAGACAATAAACTTGTAAATGAATGAACAATAAAAAAAACACAATAGGAAGTGCTCTGCAAAAGATGAAGCCTGGGCAATGTGGCAGATGCTGGGTAGATTTTCAAGGAAGTAGTCAGCCAGCCTTTTCTGAGATTTGAATGACTTTTTAAAAAAGGAGCCACACAAAGGTCAGGTGGCAGAGAAATTCAGGCCGAGGGAGGAGCTGATTCAAACGCCCTGGAAGAAGGGCCCAGCCTGGAGCCCAGCCGGGCGGGAGTAGCCGCTCGAGAAGTGCGCAGAGGCCACACCACTGAGGCCTTGAATGCAGGAGAAGGGGATTTATTCTAAGTGCATAGAAAAGAGATCATGGAGGTTTGTAAACAGGCGGGAAATGTGATCTGATTTTGTTTGAGAGAGATCACGTGGCTTGTGTGTATAAATTGGCTGTGAAGCTGTGGTGAAGGAGGAGGCAGGAGCGTGTGACTAACCCGGAGGAGGGCAAGAGCCACTTGAAACTGAGCACTGAGCCAACAAGAGCAACAAAACCTCCCTGCCATCGAATCGATTTCAACCCAGAGTCCAAACTACGGCTCCCGAAAGGTTCCCAACAGAGTGGTAGAAGCAAGACTGCTGCGGAGGCTTGTTAAGGATTCTCAGCAGCTCACTTATGATGAGTCATGGATCTTATTGGGCTCTTCTAGCTGTACTGGTTTTGGCTGGTATCAGAGAAATGTGAGTCTCTACATAAACAGGCACCTATTCCTACTAGGAAGAATTGTGAGCTACACGCCAGAAACTCCTGCGTGCTTTCTTCCGCTCACTAGGACAACTTGAAGGAGTCCTGGGGGCACGCACCGTGGTTAAGCACTTTGCTGCTCCCCGAAAATTCAGCAACTCAAATCCACCAGGGCCTGTGCAGCAGCTATGGAGGCAAACAGACCTGCTGATCTGCTCCCATGAGGATTACAGTGCAAGAGACCCTCTGGGCGTTTCTACTCTGTGACTCCGCGTCAAGAAGAGTTGGAATAGACTCGACCACACTACAGCAGCTGGACCTGGGCACTCAAGAGTCCCAATGAAGTCCTGCCTGGTGGTCATGGTTATACTGGACCTCGACAAGGCCAGCCGAGGCCCTGGAAAGTGAACAGTGTACACCATCGGTTTCCAAACTTATTGGCCTGCCACCCCTTTCCAGAAAAGAAAATTACTCAGTAATTTAAAAGTTTTGTACTATAGCCCATAATCCAGGATAAAGTGTAAGTACTTGCTCTTCAGCCCCCCTGGATCGTGCGCGCAGCTTGGGAAACACTGGAGTACAACATCCTTTCTTTGGGATGAAAAATTTAAATAGTTCAGCCATGAGAGTATAACTCAACTTCTACCGAACAAAAAATTAAAAAGCAATAATGTATAAGCGTGCTTTAAATAGTTAGCAACAACAAGAAATCACGCTATAATAATGATTCCTTTGCATTAATATTCCTTTGACTTCTAGTGGTTTTTCATAACATATGAAATACAAGGTCAGCAGTTAGAAAACACAATCTGGTCCTTGGGAGAAAGACTTGGCTTTCTACTCCCGTAAAGAGTTAAGTCTGTAAGCAAATGTGGTGAAGAAAGCTGATGGTGCCTGGCTATCAAAATATATAGCATCTGGGGTCTTAAAATTTGAAGATAAATAAATGGCCACCTAGCTGAGAAGCAACAAAGCCCACATGGAAGAAGCACACCAGCCTGTGTGATCATGATGTGTCAGTGGGATTAGGTATCAGGCATCAAAGACCCGGAACAAAAAATCTTATCAGTGTGAACAAGGGGGAGCACAGAGTGGAGACCAAAAGCCCATCTGTAGACAATTGGACATCCCCTCACAGAAGGGTCACAAGGAAGAGACGAGCCAATCTGGGTGCAGTATAGCACCGATGAAATACACAACTTTCCTTGGGTTCTCTTATTTCTTTATTTATTTTTATTAAATCATTTTATTGGGAGCTTGTACAACTTTTATCACAAGTCATATATACATCCACGTGTCAAGCACATTTGTGCATTTGTTGCCCTCATCATTCTCAAAACATTTGTTTTCCACTTGAGCCCTTGGTATGAGCTCATTTTCCCCCTCCCTCCCTGTTTCCCCCTCCCACATGAACTCTTGATAATTTATAAATTATTATTACTTTGTCATATCTTACACTGTCCAACGTCTCCCTTCACCCACTTTTCTGCTGTCCACCCCCCAGGGAGGAGGTTGTAGATCCTTGTAATCAGTTCACCCTTTCTACCCCACCTTCCCTCCACCCTTCCAGTATCGCCACTCTCACCACTGGTCCTGAGGGGTTTCCTCGAGTTCTTTAATGCTTCCTTCCCCCACTATCATGACCCCAATTCTACCTTACAAATCCAGCTAGACCAGAGCATGTACACTGGTACAGATAAAAGTTCGAAACACAGGAAATCCAGGACAGATAAACCCCTCAGGACCAATAATGAAAGTAGTAATACCAGGAGGGTAAGAGAAAGGTAGGGGTAGAAAAGGAGAACCAATCATGATGATCTACATATAACCCTCTCCCAGGGAGTGGACAATATGAAAAGTGGGTGAAGGGAGACAGCAGTCAGTGTAAGGCATGAAAAAAAAAATTTAAATAAATTATCAAGGGTTCATGAGGGAGGGAAGGTGGAGGGGGAAATGATCTGATACCAAGGGCTCAAGTAGAAAAAATGTTTTGAGAATGATGATGGAAACATATGTATAAATATGCTTGACGCAATGGATGTGTGTATGGATTGTGATAAGAGCTGTAAGAGCCCCCAATAAGCTGATTAATAATAATAAAGAATTAAGTCTCAGAAACTCATAGGGGCAGCTCTACCTGGTCGCAACGAGTCAGCATTGAGTCAATGGCAATGAGTGGGATGTTCAACCCATTTCTCAATGATGAAAGTTGATAGGGGTATTTGTCACCTTTCAAACTTGCCAGGGAACTTGTGCTTCCGGCACATGGTGTAACAAGGACTGGAGCAATGAACGCACAGGAGGAAAGATCTGAAACCATGGTTCCAGACACTGGACCAAAGGCAGTGGACAATGACCCTTCTCTTGTCTAAAGCAACAGAAAAGAATGCAGAGTGGCTCATTGGGACAAAAGAACTTATGAAACGGACAGCGGGAAACTCAGACTCTCCAGAGGAGTCAGAAATCCAAGAGCAGCAATTAACAATTAAGAACAAATACTGCTGCAAAAATAGGAGTCCTTGCCGAAGACCATGCTGCTATCACACGACAGGCAAAAATGCCACGTCTGGTGACTGCTGCTCCTGACCAGAACATGCCACAGCTGCCACCGGAGACTGGAACATAGCTGCCTCCACAAGGCCCTGCTTCTCGTCTCAACAGCCTAGGGAGCTGTCTGCAGCCAGTGGCAATCAGGGCTGAGCCTGAGAAACAAGAGTGGGAGGGAGGCTCTGCCTCCTAAGGGGACATAGGACAAATGTCACACACACACACACACACACACACACACACATTATTTCTTTGTACTATACTAATCAGATAAAAGTCTAAGTCAAGTGCTGGCTTCGGCAGCACACATACTAAAATGGGAACAATGCAGAGAAGATTAGCATGGTCCCTGCGCAAAAATAACCCTCGAAAAGAATAAAATCTACAAATCCAGAAAAAAAAAAGCCTAAGTCAATTGTATCCCCCAATAAGGAGAGCTATACATGACAGATATCCTAAAGCCATAGCACCAAGGGGTGCATTTACCTTTGTCTGTGCATCAGCCTTCCGCTGTCAACTTAGCACATATGCTTAATAAAAGATGGAGGTTGGGAGGATATATTTGAAGAATGCTTTTTGTGGTTGTTTTCAATCCTCAGGCTCCTGTCAGGAAGGAAGGCCTCATCCTGAAACACAATCTCTGTGATGTGATCGGATGAGGGCACCCTCTCCTCCGCTCATTCAGCCAACAAATAGTTACGGTCTTGTCCTCACGGCGTCAGCCATCCAGCAAAGGAGAAAGATGGTACATGAATAGGTATACAAATAATGGTGCAGTTAGTGTTGGTGGAAATGCTGACAGAGAGGGAATACATCCTAGGAACGCGTGTGGTAAAAGAATACACTTCTTGAATCATACACTTGTCAGGAAAGCTTTCCTGAGCAAATGGCGTTTGGTTAAAAGATAATAATAATAAATTATATATATATATATATATATATATATATATATATATATATATATATACACTCTAAAATAGGAAAACTGTTGAAATAAATGTCTAGCCACCAAAGATGCTATTATAGTAACATGATTCCTCACATATTCATAGATAGCCGTTAACGTTGAAAATTATTTGTAGATCAGCTTTTTTCAATTCAAAGGCATTCTGGATATGATGATGGCTCAGAAATCGCAGCCCACTGTAAACTAAGTGGGCAATTCTAAAGCCAAATGACAAAGAGTCTTTCAAATATACATTTTAAGAATAAAAGTTGCACGGAATGTAAAATGGAGCGCAAGGTCAGCCAACGCCTGGGCTGCCCTGCGGCCAGAGGCCTGGAAGGTCTGGTGTGAAGGAGCGTGCAAGGCCGCCACGGGGAGCAGCTGGGCCCTTAGCAGCAGCCGTCCGGTGCCCTTGGCATCAGGAAGGCGGCCGCAGGGAGCTCACAGGGAGGAGGACGTAGCCTTCCACCGGGCGGGCCTCTCACTGCCACCACCTCATTTCCAGGCCACCTATCTTGGACTGTTGTCACGCTCCATTCTGATGCTACCTGCCTAATGAGCTTTACTTCTGACTTCGGTTACAATAATCAGCTCTGGAGTCCCTGGGGAGCGCGTGTCTGGGGAAGGCTGCAAACAAGTGAATGCTTGGTAGCGAACAGAAGGGTTGGAGGTTCAAGTCACCCAGAGGTGCCTCAGAGAAAGGCCTGCTGATCCACTCCCCGAAAGCCAGCCGTGGAAAGCCCCGTGGAAAGCAGGATGCTCGACACACGCAAGAGTGCCACGACTCAAAACAAACAAACAAACAAAAAGAGTGCCACGACTCAGGCAGCCTCCACTTGTCCGAGCCGTGTGCAGCGTGTGGAGCCGCCACCCTTACCTGCCCGACCACCAGCCAAGGGGGAGCAGTGCCGGAGGACGTCACCTCCAGCGTGGCCAGGAAAGCCCATGGGAGAGGCCCCTTTGGGCACTTAGAGCCCCTCTGACTGCTTGGTCTCGCCAAATGCCCCAGAAATATGGTACCAGTCAATACGGCCACATTCTACTTGCGATTCTCCTACCGAATCTGAGCCTTCCATCTGGACGGAGGGACTCTTTCCACAGTCATTTCCATACTCTCTCCCTGGGGGGTGGAATTTGATTAAAACACAAAATCTAGCATTCCCCTAAAGTGAAATAGGAAACTCCGTTCATTCCATCCATAATCCCTTCACCGACTATCAAGATCCGATTCCCCAGACCTACACTATGCTGGGGGAAAACAAAAAAAAACACCTCTCTCCCAATTCCTCCTAAGAACCACTTAGTGATTTTAAGGTCTGCTATGGAAAGAACTGGTGATGGAGTTACTCTGCGATCCAAAAGGTCAGCAGTTCAAAAGCACCAACCGCTCCATGGGAGAAAGACTGGGCTTTCTATTCCCATACGCAGTTACGGTCTCAGGAACCCATGGTGGGTAACTATACATCGGCATGGACTCGATGGCAGTGAGGGTATGAAAAAAACACGTTAGCTATGCTGACAAATTAAAAATAAATAAGTAAACATAGTGCAGCGAGCAAAGCACTCAGTTGCCAACCAGGAGCGCAGTGGTTCAAACCCACCCGCTGCTCAGTGGAAGAAAGAGGAGGCTGCCTGCTTCTAAGAAAGTGTACCGCCTTGGGAAGCCTATGGGACAATTCTCCTCTGTCCTCCTGGGGCTCGCTGAATCAGAGGGGTTACTTAGTTTTAAAACATGTGCAATAGGCTAGTACAGATAGGAACTGAAAATACAGGGAATCCAGGACGGATGAGCCCTATAGGACCAGTGGTGTGAGTGGCAAAACAGGGAGGGTAAAGGGAGAGTGGGTAGGAAGGAGGGAACCGATTGCAAGGAACTATATGTGACCTCCTCCCTGGGGGACAGACAACCGAAAAGTGGGTGAAGGGAGACGTCGGACAGGGCAAGATATGACAAAATACCCATTTATAAACTATCAAGGGCTCATGAAGGAGCGGGGAGCGGGGAGGGAGGGGAAAAATGAGGACCTAATGTCAGGGGTTTAAGTGGAGAGAAAATGTTTTGAGAAATGATGTACAAATGCGCTTTACACAATTGATGTGTGTATGGATTGGGATAACAGTTGTATGAGCCCCTAATAAAATGTTAAAAAAAAACAAAAAACGTGCAATAGGAATGGGAAAAAAAATCTGATTTAGCAACAATCTTGTGCTGATTGTTGTAAATATGGCTCAGAAAGAAAGAAAATCTTCAACTTAATCTAAAGAAGAAAAAGGTTTTTTGTTGCTGTTTTTTTTTCTTTTTACTAGAAGTGGTTGAAACTGTCTCTTTTGCCACGAGCCTAGAACTAGATGATGCTTGGATGCCATTACTGAACATTTTGATCAGAGGCTTCACAGAATACTCATCAAAGGGGAGAAAATGCAGAACAGAACTCCAAATTCTCATCGGCTTTAAGCTTCCTGGAGTCATGCTGAACCCCTGAAATATTGCCCGGAGATCACCTTTAAACTTTACCCTGAAAATACCCCTTGAGGTCTTCTTGAAAGAAAGCAATCGTTTAGCTTAATTAGCAAAAAAATGGCTACCTTGAAGAAATGCCTCTCTCCATGTGAGCTCAAATAGACCACAGCAACCGAAAGGCTCAGACAAGACCCTGCATCGGGAAGAGGAGAGGAGGGCACCATGCAAGAAGGTCAACAGTGCTGCTAAACGGTACACGGACAAACTGCTGCATTGCTGTGGATATCCCAGCAACGAAATTAAAGTTTAAAAAACTTGTTTTATATCACCAAGGAGTCTTTAAAAATCCAGATGCCTGGGCCTCATCCGTCATTTCCATTTGTTTGCTCTAAACCAAGTATCAATATTTCTTTCACAAAACATTAAAAATTGAGAAATCATTCACAAACCCCAAGATTTTAAACTGCACTGGAAACTGAATGGGTTACAGTAGTCACCAAAATGTGCAATCATCAACGTGATCTAATTCCAGAACATTTTCATCACCCCAGGAAAAACCCTGTGTCCATTCGCAGTCACTCCCCTGTCCTCCCCTCCTTATAACAAACAAACACAAACACTTCACTGCCCAGGAGTCCATTCGGACGCCTAGAGAACCTCTGAACACAGTAGAACTGCCGCTGTGGGTTTCTGAGACTACAATCTTTACAGAAGCAGAAAGCCTCATCTTTCTCTTTTGGAGCTGCTGGTGGGTTTGAACTCCTGACCTTGTGGTTAGCAACTCAATGTGTTAACCATTGCATCAGCAAAGCTCCATACCTGGTAACCTCTAATCTACTTTCAGTCTCAATGAACTTGCTGATTCTGGACATTTCATAGAAATGGAATCATACAATTATTTTTTAAGTTGCTAAGACTTATAACCTTTTTAAAATCCCCAACAAGGTATGATAGACATTAACATAGCTATTATTATAAAATCCAACTTGTATGTTACTTTATAAGAACCGGATTTTCACACAGTAATGAAATGTAGAAGTTTTCAAAGTATAAATTGCAAGGTATTTCCAATCCACCCAGGGGAAATTGAAAACCTATACTTACAAATGTACTTTTTCATAGCCAATAGCTGTTTTTGAAGCCAAAAACATTGTTATGGATTAAAATGTGTCCCCCTCTCCCAAATTATATGTTAAGCTCTGACCTGTGAAGGTGATTGTCTTATGTTAACCCCTGTAGCTGTGAATGTGATCCTATTGCGACATAGGGGTTTCCCTTTCTGAGTGATGCAGCAGCTCATTTTTACATGCCATTTCTAGCCATGGTCTTGTAACACTCATTAAATGATTGCCCGGGACTGTGAAAATTAACGTGTTGGTAGTACACCACAGGGGACTGGATAGCTTGCTAATGATGTAAATAAGGTATACAACACCCTTGTGGGAGTGGGATTGTGTACAAGGTGTCCAGACCCCTAATGAGGGGATTGGTCCATTTGGCCATCCTGCTAGTCTTAAAACAAGCCATCCCAGAGGTGGATAGGTTCCTCCCGGGGTTTCTACACTGAGAACCATTTAGATCCAGGGGACAGGAGTTGTAACACTGGATAGGGTGAGACAATGAGAAGCAGCTACACAGAAGTAACAACATCAGAGGCAGAAGAACCAAGGGATCAGCAGGAGAAGATGCAGTGGGCTTCTTGGTCCTGGGAAAAGCGAGCGCTTATCCATGGAGCTTGCCAACCCACAGAGCCAGAGAGCTAAATACCTTCAGTTTGAAGCTTACCAGTTGAGTGGTGTGTCTCTGGGAACTTACTGGAGGAACTAAAGAACTTTGTGAGTCTTGTCCAGGTAGGGGGCCAGGGCCTCAAAAGACCACGGGCAAGAAAGAGGCCTGTCTACAGGCACTGCTGAGAAAAAACTGTCCTGATTAAACAACTCTATACTGAGATTGTTTTGATCCTAAATCGTAACCTGTTACTTCCCTA